TGCAGACGACGTGGATGTGCAATACGGGGCAGAGGGTGCAGGCATCTTAGCTTCTGTTAGTGACTCCAACTGGAGCACAGGCTGGGCGGGACACATGTGACAGTTAGACGTGTTAAAAAAGGTCTGATATCTAAGCACTGTGCGGTCCATGAGATGCTCAGAAGAGCCACTTGCTTCTTTTTAAAAATTATTTTTGTTTATCATTATTGTTATTTTATGATTTGTTACAGGGCATATGCACTCATGAGAGAGGGAAAGTGAGGAAGCAAGCCACCAGGTCCAGGACTCGAACTGCAGTTGGCCATGTGGGAGTCCAAGAGCCCTAAATACCATGACACCTGCTGGCCCAGCCACTTGCTCTTAATTATTATCATTAGTGTTTCTTTGGACAAATCTTCATGTAAGCCATAATTGTGATTATGATTATGATTTTAATTGCCAGAAGGCATGTGTGTTCACCAGATACAAAAGAGAGATAGAGATAGAGACAAAGACAGAGAAAGGAAGAGGGACAAGCCCCCTCCCCCAAGGGACTGTGTCCTACAACAATAATCTTCCATTTCTCCATCCTGTCGGGATTTGGGGCATGCATGGCACACGTATCTACCATGTTTCCCAAGCCTCTGGGGCCAGGATTTGAACTGCGGTTAGCCATGAGAGATCTGGCTCCCTGAAGCACTAGGCTACAAGGCCAGCTCAAGTACTATTATTATCAATGTTCTCTCTCTCTGGACAAAACTCCATGTCTCTTGATCCTGACATATTCACTCAGCATCTTTCACATCTGCAGCTAATAGCTCAATGAAACATCATAAATGTTCATTTTTTAAAATGTTGATATAAAAAGATCTCAGTAAAATCTGCCACTGAAAATGGGAGACTATGGGACCAGCAGTTAGCGTAATGCCTATGTCACTGGACTCTCACATAGTTGACCTCGGTTCGCATCCTGGACCCCGTGGCTTAAAACTCACGCCGGGCACTTGTGCGTGCGTGCCCAAGATCCTGAGAGGAGAATGGAGAAGGGATTGTGGCGTGACCATCCCCTCTGGGGGATGATTTCTCGGTTTCTATCTCTCTGTCTCTGTCTGTCTGGTGAGTACACGCGTTCTATGGCAAAAATCTCCCCCCCCCAAAAAAAAACCCAAAACAAACAAAAAAAAATGGGAGACTATTAGTAAAGCAAAATAAGATCATGCTAAGCAATTACATTGCTTGTATTTTATTTTAAATTTGCTCTAGGGCACATGCACTTAACAGAGAGAGAGTGTGTAAGAGAGAGGCAAAGCG